TATTTATTTTAAATTGATGGTATTTTTCTGGGTTTTTTAGTTATCTGTCCTCTGGTGCAGGCTGTGGGTATAACTTAGGTTTCCAAAGACACAGGTCTGAACTACATTTGAGAGCAGTGAGTGGGCTGGCCCCCACTTTTCACCCACTGCCTCTGGGACTAGCTGTCCCTGAGCCCACATACTTTACCTGTGAACATGAGAGCTGTGATGGTAGCAAATGCAAAGACCACCATCCCCAGAATGTTGAAGGTTAGACCAATCTCAGCCACCCAGCTGTCTGCCAGGCAGCACTGCAGGAGCCGCAGGCCCAGCAGGCTGGTGAGGTAGGGGAGGTGCTGAGCTGCAGAACCATAGCCAATCAGCTTGGAGTCCCAGCAGAGGGGTGTGCTCAACTCATAGATGGTCAGGATGTCCTGAGCCCCAAAGTGCACAGTGATCACCACGAAGAAAGCCAATGAGTATAGGGCTAAATGCTTCCTGGACTTCTCCGGGGCTGGAGACAGGTAGAGGTGGACGATGGATCTGTGGTGACGGAGGGTGAATAGCCGGGTGGACTTTGGCTCTTTCAAGGTCTCACCAAAGCAGAATGCTGCATATAGAGTCATGACTATTAGCAAGGCCAAGGCCAACCAGAAGGGGTTGGCATAACCCTGGGCCCGGAGCCAGTGACCACCAAGGAGGCTTGCCAACATTCCAGCCACGCCAATGCACGCTTCCAGCAGAGCCATCCGGAAGGTGCGGCTGTGATTAGAGCTGACATCGGCTATGGAGGCAAAGCCAGCAGCCAAAAGCCCACTGAAGTCACCGAGGAGAGCACAAAGGATGCGGCCTAGCACAAAGTAGCCGACGTGGAGTTGCAGCTGCACCACAAAGATGGACACCACAGCTTGGAGCAGCAGGCCAAGTGAGGCCAACACCAGCAGAGGGCGGCGGCCCACCTGGTCACTCCAGGCTCCAAGCAACGTGGACGAGAAGAGATCCACCAGGAAACCGCCCACATTCATGTACAGGGTCCAGTGGGAGGTAAGGGTTTCCACTTCCTGCGGGAACACAATTACTAGGATATGACTCCTCACTGGTCGCCTACTGCCCCCAGCATTGCCATCCTGGGAGATACAGGGTTGAGAACTTTCTTTGGAGACCTAAACCTCAGAGAATCTTCATACAGTCTCAAAAACGGTCACCGTGGGGGACGATGGGACACGGAAACTGCCCCATTCCCCTGCCTTTACCCCTTTGTTAATTGCCCAAGACAGGTTTTCTCTAGATCAACAGCCCGCATCCCTTATGCTGCAATTCTAAGGCAGAACCCCTGTGCTCCGCCCCGCGCACCCTGCAATCGCAAACCCCGCCTCGGACGCCCCCCACCATCCCGCAGGCCCCGCCCCTCGGCAGCCCCCACGCTCCAGGCCAGGGCCCGCCCCCAGCCCTCCCCACCTTCCCGCAGGCCCCGCCCCTCGGCAGCCCCCACGCTCCAGGCCAGGGCCCGCCCCCAGCCCTCGCCACGCTGTTACCGTCATCCTGGGGTCCACGGTTTGGTTTCCACAGTGCCCTCGGTCGCGAGTGCCATTGTAGCCGAGGTCGACGCTGAAGCGATGCCACAGATACTGCGTGGTGATCGGACTCTGCAGGACCAAGGCAAAGTTCCCCAGGAAGACGAGGGGCTCCACGGGGCCGCGGAACAGCACGGGCGCCGCGCGCCGGGTGCGGGATTGGCGCAGGGGGCTCGCTTGCCCCTCCATGCGCGTGCGCGTCGGGGGCTGGCTGGCGGCCGGCGGAGGGCTGGAGTGTGACTCTCGGGACCAGTGGCTGGAGGCCGGGGCCTGCGCTGTCTGCGCCTGCGCCCGCGTCCGGCGTTCTTTCTTAAAGTTAGGCGGGGCGGGGCGTAGTACTCAGACCCCAAACTCTTGCTGCGCGCGCTTTTGGCTGCGTGTGGCGGGCCACGAACTCAGCAGCCCTGGCCAGCAGGGTGACCTCACTCGTACTCTGGCAAGAATACCAGCCGGCAGCCCTCCCTCCTGGGCCCAGAAACACTTGTGACAATAACATCAATAATTAACATTTATTGAACACTTACTGTATGGAGGGCACAGTATTAAATCTTTTGCGTGTATTAATCTCCCAACAATGTAATAGGGTAGCCACACCTATTATCCACATCTACTGATGTGGAAGCAAGGTCACCTGGCACTCAGAGCTAGAGGAGCACGTAACTACTGATGCCAGTGCTGATGTTCTGCAGGACTGTAGAGAGGCAACTCGGGATGGAGGCGTGGAGACTGAAACCAACTGTCCCGGCTGGAATACGTGGGCTCTGCCACTGTCTCTGGCATACATACCACTTACCTCCCTGTGCCTGTTTCTTCATCTGTAATAAAACCTGCCTCAAAGAGTTATTGGGAAAGAACCGTGTCTGATAAGTTGAGAGTGCTATTATTTTTAATAGTAGGCTGTCACTTGCCCCACTCTTGAGCTAGAATCCCTTCCTGCAAAACTAGACTTGTTTCTGGGGCTGGGGTCTGACTCTGCAATTCCCTTTAAGGAGCAGAGTGTGAGCAGAAGACAGTGGAGGGCTCCCTGGGTGTGGCCTTATTTTCTTGGGTGCTACCTCTGCAGGAACTGGGCCAGAAGGCAGTCACCTGGTCTGCTGTTGAGCAGCTCAGACCTCCTGTCTGGGCCTCTGTTTTATTGCCTGTAAAAGGAAATAACAGGGCTGGAAGTATGGCCCACTGGTAGAATGCTTGCCTGGCAACCATAAATAAATAAATAAATAAATAACCTGTTCCCTATCATTTATTTATTCACTCATTAAATGCATTTATCAAGCACCCTTATGAACCAGCCACCATACTGGGGGACTCTGGGAACATAATATTGAAGAAAATAGACAAAGTCCTCACTAGGCCTGGCAGTTTCTAGAATGGTAGGGGAGATATAATTGATGGAATTGATTTGTCTCACCAATTGACGTAAAACTGAAATCTAGGCAAATACTTAGTGGTGGGAGGCTCCAAGGGTGCTCATTCAGAGGCCTGGTCAGAATCAGGGAAGGCCTTCCCCTGACAACTAACAGGACAGCTGAATGCATGGTTGTCTGAAGGCAGGCCCTGCACCAGTTATGGCTCGAAGCACACCTGATTCTTGGGGTGGAAGGTGTGACTCCGTTTCTAACCACAGTGACCATGCGTGCCTGGGCTTTCGTGACTATCCTCATCTCTCCTGGGCCAGAGTCTGAGGCTCAGACTAAGTGGCTAGGTACTGATGCCCCACTCCCTTCCATGGACTTCCAGACAATTCCACATGAAACATTCAAGTCTCTGGGTGCCTTTTGTCACCCCCACACACTTATTCAAATCTTGGTCTAGTGAGGTCAACTGAAGAGAGGAAGGGGCGCCTTAATTGCTGCATTAAGATGAACTGTTTCTCTGGCTTGGTGGGAAGGAGTCTTGTGGTCCACTAGCAATGTTTGCCATGGGTTCAGGGGTGGTAAGTCCTGGGCACTCAAAACTGTGTCGTGGGACTGGGGCTGTGGCTCAGCGGTAGAGTGCTTGCCTTGCACGTGTGAGGCCCTGGGTTCGATCCTCAGCACCACATAAAAATAAATAAACAAAATAAAGGTATTGTGTCCATCTACAACTAAAAAGATTAAAAACAAAACAAAACTCTGTTGTCTAAGCTGGGAGCAGTGGCGCAGGCCTGTAATCCCAGCGACTCAGCAGGCTGATGCAGGAGGATTGAGAGTTCAAGGCCAGCCTCAGGAACAGTGAGGCACTAAGCAACTCTAAATAAAATACAAGATAGGGCTAAGGATGTTGAGTACTCCCTGAGTTCTACCCCTAGTATCCCAAAAAAACAAAATAAAAACCAACACCATGATGTCTAATCCTGGATAGGTCAATAGGTGCTCAGTAAGCTTTGAGAGGCTTTGGGAAGTGCCTGGAAGCTTCTTCCTATGGGACACTGGAACAAGGAACATGGATTCCTCACTCTAATGGCAGCTTTGTCAGCCTGCACCCAGTCTGAGCTTTCTTTCCAGAAGTGGCCAATCAGAACTTCCAGTTTCTGTTTTAGGATACAAAGAGGAAGAGAGGGGCATGCAGGAGGAAATGCCATTTCCTGCTTTGAGTTTTGCTTCTCATGTATCAGCCCTAAAAGTCAAATCAGCATCCATTTCAGCATGGACTAAGGGTGTGTTCATAGCACTGAGTGGGAGTTACAACTATGTCCCTGTCACTGTGAGACTTTGGCCAAGTCCCTGTCTGACCTCAATTTGCTCATCTATGAAATAATTTCTGGTCTTGTATTTCCTTGTCTGTAAAAATAGAGCAATAATACCTACCTGTCGGGAGCTGCCACATAGGAGCCGAAAACCCTTAGCCCTGAGAGATGGAAATGTGGAGCCTGGTTTCTGTTGTGTGGGGGAAACAGGTGGATCCCATCTGTGCTGCAGGGGAGTAAGGCTTTGGGAGTGGGCTGCCTTCTTGTTCCTTCGTAATACTACCCCTGACCTTTTTTGGATGGAATGTTCTATCCAGCAGCTCCCCTCAATAAATAGGGCTTCAGGACACGCCCTCACTCTCTCTCCAGCCTCCAGTGTTTTTCCCTTCACTCCCTTGTGGGAGCTTAGAGCTGGAGGTGGAGAAGCTGCCCTGAATGGCCCCAAAAAAGGTATTTTCTGTGTGATTCATTTGTGCCAGCCCAATTCACCCGAGTGACCCTGGTTTCATAATCTGTGCTGGACAGGGGCTACACCTACCCACAGGGTGGCTGTTAACATCAAATGAAAAATATGTGTAGCTGGGAGCTGCATGTGGTGGTGTCCAGGTGCCAGAGATGGTGGTTGCTATTGAACTGTGCTTGTGGTGAGGAGAGATTTCACCACAAAGAAGCCAGGCTGTCCTGGGTGAGAGGAACAGCTGGGCCTCAGAGAAATGCTTTCCAGAATCCAGAAGCACACAGGGATGGAGGTACACTCCCATGCATGTACTCCTTAGGGGGGCTTCCCTGAGTTGCTTAGCATCTTGCTTTTGCTGAGGCTGGCTTTGAACTCACGATCCTCCTGCCTCAGACTTCCAAGTCACTGGGATTCAGGAGTGCACCACCATACCTGGCTTTACTGCATTTTGAACAATGTAGAATCTTAAAATCATTTAACTTCATTAAGCACCTGCTGCCTTTTGTGCTTTTGCTCTCTTACATTTTACTTCCATGTGGTTTTTTTTATACCTTTATTTTTTATTTATTTTTATGTGGTGCTGAGGCTCGAACACAGGGCCTCTCACGTGCTAGACGAGCGCTCTACCACTGAGCCACAATCCCAGTGTATTTTGAATCCCATGTTATAATTATTGCTGGTTTAAAGTGCTGATATTTATCTACCTATTTTCTTTATTCAGTGCTCTTTATTCTTCTCTTCTATGCTACCATCTTCCTTTGGCCTAAAGAGTGAATTCCTTTTTCTTTTTCTTATGGTGTGGATCTTCTGGCAACACAGTCTCTTGGCTTCTGTTTGCAAATATTTCTATTTCACTTTCACTTTGAAGGATATTATTCCTGGGTGTGAAGCTCAGTTTTTATTTTTTTCATCCCTTTGACAAAGTCATTCCATTGTCTTCTGGCTTTCATTTTTCTCATGTCATCTCCTGTCAAGGATTGTAAGCCCTTAAGCCATGTCAATGCTTTTAATTTTTAATTGGGGTACTATCTTAATCATATTTATTTATTTATTTTAATGATCCTAGGGATTGAGTCCAGGGCCTCATGCATGCTAGGCAAATGTGTTCCTAGTTTTATGCTTTTTTTTTTTTTTTTTTTTGTACTAGGGATTGAATCCAAGGGGCGCTTTACTACAGAGCTACATCCCCAGACTTTTTTATTCTTAGTTTTAAAATTTTGAGACAGCATCTCACTAAGTTGCTTAGGGCCTTGCTAAGTTGCTGATTCCTGCCCCACCCTCCCAAGTCAGTGGGATTACAAGTGTGCCCCACTGTGCCTGACAAATATATATGTCTTTAAAAGCATAGGGCTAGCCAGGTGTGGTGGTGCACACTTGAAATTCCAGCAACTCACAATTCCAAGGCCAACCTGGGCAACTTATTGAGACCCTGTCTCAGAATTTTTAAAAATGGGAGGGGGTACTAGGGATGTAGCTCAGTGATAGAGCATTTGAACATATGCCCAAGGCCCTGGGTTCGATTCCTAATGCTGCAAAAAATAAGTAAATGATGAAAACACCTGTTCTGCCTCAGGTGGCAAAAATCAGCTTCATATCCTTGGAGTTCTGAGTGTATCATTAGGAGCTGACTATGGAGCCAGGCCTCACCGAGTGCATTACGTGTCTATTATCTAATTGGATCCTTACCACAATTTAGGAGGTAAGTCTGACTACCCACTTTTCTAGTTAATGCAGCTGTGACTAGAGGAATGAAGGGAAATGGTCCCTGTCACGCTGGGCACAGGTTTTATTCTCCCTACACTCTCCTTGTGCATTCTGTATTCCAAGCCTTAATATGTGTTAATCCTTGTACTAGCCTTAAGAAAAGGGGGACAGTAAAACACGAGTCCTTGAATACCCTCTTTCTGTTTCCAAAAACCTGGCCAAATTAAAGGAACAACGAGAGCAAGCCTGGGCTGAAATGCCCACATACATATTACCTTGAAGGACCCTAGCTTTCTCTTATATGAACTGGGAACTGGGGCAAGTTAGTGTTCTCTGTAGAAAGCTACTTTCTTGCAGGAACAGCAGTTGCTCCTTGGGATGCTGGTCACCCAAGCAAACTAAGCAAGCTCATGCTGATGATGTCACTGCTTCTGTAGCCTAAC